TAGCGGTACTACTAGGCTATCCGGAAGTAAAAAGGAGTCAGGATCAGGAACCAGCATGAAGGACAAGGATAGAGAGATGACCAAAGCTATTAACGCTGAATTTTCCGATGACGATGAAGAAGATGATGATAACAAAAGTAATTGGGATGATGATGAAAAGGTAACTCCATAAGACTGTTAATGTATTTCTATAATACTTATTATAACATTTACCGACATTAATTCAGCCACATGAACGCGACGACGAAGAAGAGGAAGAAGAAGATGAAGATGAAAAAAAGGAAAAAGGTGAAAAACGTAAGAAAGAAAAACAAGATCGAGAAAGGCAAAATAGCGAAGACGAAGAAGAAAACGACGACGAAGTTAAAGTAAAGGACGAAGATGATGATCGAAAACATGAGGTAAGTAGGTTACAATATTTTAATCATCAGAATTATGCCTTTTTGTATTATGATGGATGTTTTTATTACCCCTTCAGGACGATGAAGATGACGGTGACGATGAGGAACGAGATGATAATGATAAGACGGATCATGGTAGAACCACTGGTTCTGAAGAATTACCCAGTAGGAGAGATGGCAGAAAATTCATTAAATTAACTTGCCCGCATTGCGCTCATCGTAGTGTTACTTTTAAAGAATATTCACTGCATTTATATTCGCGCCGTCACAGTGCAGCAATGAGATTAATCGCATCCCGGCATAAGGCAACTTTGACCCGTATGCGTGTTTTACAACGACAAGAACAACGACGTGTTGAGGCCCGTGATGCAGCACGTGGTACTTTACCATCTCGTACCATGTTTTGTCCCATTTGTAAACTCAATTATCGTTCCCTTAAAGCAGTGCATCAGCTATCAGATTCCCATCGTCAGATGAAACGATTCCTTACTCCATTTTGCCGTGTTTGTCGCATTCAATTTCGATCACCAATGCTATTTGAAACTCACATGTGCTCTTTGGATCACATTAAGGTATTATTTCTATCGCGATATTAAACTGTTTCTTTAACATATTCGTACATAATATATTCTTCTTTTAGAGAAAGAGTGCGTTGAAAGAAAGAATGAACGCCGGCAATGGCGAAGCAGAAGCAGATTCAAGTGGACCCGAAGAAGATGACAAGGAAGTTAATCTCGATAATTTTATGACTCTAGATTCCGTAGGTGATGTGGACGGTACGTTATTAACTATTATATAATATTATTATTTTTCTAGTGAATTTAAATTTGATTTAAAATTTTAAATGTAAGTTTCTTTAAAAATTTCTGCATAAACATAATTTATAGCAGAAGATGAAGAGTCTCCTGAGAAGAAGAAAGAGAAACCAGAGAGTGAAGGTACAAATGACACGGAAAAGAAGCTTAAAAGTAAGCAAATGATCAAAGTTGGAGCAGAATATATAAAACGTGTCGAAGTTCAATTCTGTGAATTGTGCAAGATGTATCTACCACGTAGCGAAAACAGCGAAAGGGCAATAGCGCTTCATTGTTCAACTAGAAGTCACCTTAAACGGTATAAATTACAAAACTAATTCTACAAATTGTTTGTTTCTTATATAGATATCGATGTTTATATAATAATATTTAATATTGTATACAGGTATGTGCGTGATAATGATGATAAAGCATTACGAAGACAAGCGGAGAGAATACATCTACAATCATCGTCATCTGCTAACACTACTTCCACACCAAATGCTGCAATTATCACCGAAAATACTAAATCTCCAACTAATTCTGAACCACAATGTGCAAGTAACACATTATCAGTAATTACTACTGATTGTACTAATGTTGTTGAATCCAGCAAACCAGCCGAACAAAAAGGAAATGTTTCCGAATCTGAAAAGAACACGAAAGATAGCAAAAACGGTATAAAGGTTGGCGAAGAAGAAGAAGATGATGATTATCCAGCCGATAGTAGCGATAAGTTGTGGGATGATGTTGACAAAGATTTGGGCGATATTTTGAGGGAAACAGAAGCAGGAGGTAAATCCAGCGACGACGAAGATTCTCGTTATGATCGTTTCCGTAATTCAGATAAGAAACAACAACATTCTGGGAAAGACAAAGAAAGGGACAATGAAAAAATTGAAATAGATGAAAAGGATACTATGAAGAAGGAGGTGAAAGTAAAACTTGAGAAATTAGATATGTAAAGTCCAAGAATTATTAGTACGTTTCAATCATATCCTAATATACTCTTATTGTTTTTTCACAAATATACAAAACTTAGCCATAGAAAACTTTCATGATCAGCGTTTCATACAACGGAATTATTACATTTATGGAGCTACGTAGATATTTTGGACGAAGTTAAGGATTTATGTACAGAAACTTTGTTCGTTTTCAATGAATTTGTTGTAGATATAAACCGATTAAATGTCGTGTTTGTAAGAATTCTTTATGCGAACAATAATTTTAAGTGGTTAGATCATCGTTGTAATTATGTACGTAGATAATAGAAAACAGAAAGTTTATATGAAATCATCCAATATAATTAAAGTTTAAAAATTTTTATTTAATAAACATTGGAAATGTTTGAAATGTACACTCGATGCTATAAACTTCACGATGTTCAATTCCTTTGTAATTCAAACAGTCACTATGTACGCACATTTAGTGACGATAATATTAATAAGAACTGTAAAGGACATTACTCGTATAAGCATTTTATTAAGTATAGTTGTGTAATAGTAGCGATTATTTGTGCATCACAAAATTATTTGGTGAAAATATTTGGGAAATAACAAATATCAATTTTTAATTATTAATGTAAATGGACGTATAACAAATTCGATAAACTTATCACGTATAGATAATTATAATAAACACTATTATGTAACTTCTACTGTTTTATACTATTTTCTGTGTTCGTTCATATATTAATTTGACGAAATTTCTTACAATCAAATCGTATTCGCTAGATTTCTTGTGAAGAGATTTAGTCGCAAATGAGTTGTTAAGTACACAGATGCCGGTCACTCGTGTCAACTATTATTTGAGTTAAAAAAACAAATAGCAGTAAGAAGAAGTGGTAGCATACTTTGACGATAATTTTTTATTTCATTATTTCTCCATTAACATTTTCATATTGCTCTTTTTAATAACTTGTATGCACTCTTATTAATTTTCACAAAGTGGCATACACGTATTTGACGATGAGTGGCTGAAACCAATAATTTTTAATATTTTTTTATTCTATGTTAGTGTAATATAGTTTGTTGAAATACAAAATAAGATACAAATTAAATTTTTTCAGATTTTTTACTTAATCCATTTTCATAATCATAGGCACAGGATCAAGTTAATTATTTTCATTCGAACAACGCTTATACGTTTGTATTACGAAACTATGATTTTGAGCAAAAACCATATAGTAGTATTACTAGAGTAGTGTTTTTAAAAACTTCCATCTCCCTAGAAACCTGTTCAATAAAGGAAAATTTTTGGCAGGCTTCCTAAAGTAGAATTAAGTTATTACATAAGTTCTTATATAATTTAATACTGTTTAAAAAACTAAAAATATTTGTATGCAATTTAAATAGATCCATATTTTTTTAGCTTAAATTTTCTGTACATTATTTACTAAAATAATAACTTCATACACGACATTTTATCAGTGAAAAGCAAAATGTTCATGACATTATAAAAACAACTATAAAACTAATGAGGTGGATAATACTGCTTCTTAGAAAGTGAGTGAGGAAATCGTATTTATATTAAATATGATCAACGTCAGATATATTTCTTCAATAAATTAATAAGTATATCATTATAAAAAAATGTGTTCTGAAAATGTGCGCAGATAAGTATACAAATTTTGTCTAAAAATGCCCCTTAACAAAAATAAAATATTACAGTAACACTTTTCTTATTTTACGGTATAATGTTTTTTGAGAGAAATATCACGATCCCCATTAGTAAATTCACAAGCCCTAGTTTGAGTAACGCTGTACTAGAAAATAAATGTCGTGAATTTAATGAATTTAATCTAGTAATATGCGTTCATAAAATGAACACAATATTGTTGCGTCCCGAGATCGTGGTTTAGGGAAAAAGGACGGTGGGTTGGTGCCCGTGGAGCGCTGCACCGCTCTGCTCGGCGAGGCGCGCAAAAATCAAACGACTATGTATGTTCGAAAAATGGTTGGTAAGATTTATTCGTCTTCGTCTCGACTTTTAGATACAATTTGGTTGACTTTCGAAATCGATCTGTTCCTCCGCGGAAATCTTCTCGTCGTCCTCGATGTTCATCCCTTCTCCGGAATATTCCTCGATCCTCCCTCTGGATTGTCCTGGTCCAATCGGGGTTTGTGCCCTGCCCCATCCGTCCGGATCGTCTTCGATCGATGATCCACCCCCGAGCCGCGTGGAGGTGGAGGTTACGCGGCCATGTTGGAGCGGGCGCGCGTAAGAGAGAGCGTGGGAGTCGAGAGAGAAAACGAGGCTAGCGGCCTAAGCAACCCTTAAGAAAATTTATGACCCTTGTGAAAGTAAACGAAACTCGAAGCGAAGTGTCGCGAGGCCCTGCTGTGTGTCAAGACCATTGAAACTCTTAACGGAAATAGCTAATTCGGCACGGTCCGTAATAACTAAACAATAAACTAAAGGAACGATGGAAACTCGAATTCGACACGGCCTTTAGAAAATAAACTAAGTATCTAAGAAATGCCTTCCTTTCTCTCTACCTTCCCCAGCTTGATCGCCCACGTTGAAAAGCGTACGATTTCGTTGTTTATTACAATACGCTGGTCGGTTTGAATTTCGCTCTCACATCAAACCTTGATATCCCTATGTCTTAGAGCTAACTTCACATAGTACACAGATTCATACCAGCGGAGATCGCAACAATATAGACGACCATAAAGTAACTAAATACGCTGCTGTCGCGCACGGCCATCTAACAAGAGAGAAGCAATTACAAAAATAAGTTTCGTATCTCGTAATTCTGCAGGCTTATTTGTGAACACGTCAGAATTTAACAATACGTCTGCAGCATTGGTCGGTGGAAAGCGTGAAAAAAATGGCAAACTTCTGTATGTAAAAACGATCGTCAACAGAGTTGACAGAAATTAATGAAATTGGCTAATGTCAAACGTGACAACGTAATTCATGAGAAATGTTCTCTCTAGTGCGTGCCGTCTTGGTGCGTTTTGTGTGATCGAGCAGAGTGCTTTATAAACGTATTTGATTAAGTGAAAAAGCAACGAGAAGAGAAAAAAAAAAAGAGGGAACCAGGAGGCCCAGGTGGTTGCGAAACGTCACAGATCACAACACGGAACGGGCCACTTCAAGGCAAGACGTCCCACTTCGTTCTCAGTGCGGACTCTGATACGTAAAAATAGTGATAATGCAAACGACCAAGTATCACGGGGTTCAGCAGTTCTCTGACGTGGAGTCGTGATGACCTGATTCAATCTTGTCGCTCTAAAAGTGTATTCTAATCTTGAATCGTGTCTTGTGCAAGGTTATGTGCAGTTATACGTTTGACATTTGGATCTCTTACGAGCGTTTACCAAGGCGGATCATTTAGCCATATTTGGGAATTAGTGCGATGTAAAATTATAATTAATTTTGAGCCATATGAAAATAGTGCGGTTTGTATTTTTTGACAATACCATTATGTTCGAATAATTCCTTAAAAATAAGGCGACCATACGACCCGAATTTTCACACTTCGTCCCAATTCTTTTTACAGGTAATTTGAGTCAGCTATTCTGTCCCGAATTACGATGAAATACTTTCAAGTACATAAATTTTTAGGTTAACAAGATAAATCGATATTACATTCTATGGCATATCAGTCAATGAATTAATATGAATACATTCAATATATTAATACCGAACAATATCGAACTTTCATATCTTCTCTATTAGATTTTCGTTGTTTTCGCGGATTCAGGATTTAGTACATTTAATTGGAAGGTTAGAATACATGACAGATTTAAGGAAGTTAAAATTTTAATTGTATTACAAATAGGTACTATTTTATTTTTATATGAGGTAATTTATTTAATTATTGCTTTCTTAAATGATTATTTGTATTCCTGTTACGATATAAACACTCACTAAAGAGTTATATAAAAAAGGAATTTCCTTTTATTAAAAAATAAAATATTGATTTTAATGATAGGTCTTTTAAAATTAGTTAGTGTTATTAACGGAAAGAATAACTTTTCCTATTAAATTATTTTCTCGTACACATTCAGCTATATAATTGCTGACAATAACAGATGTATCGCATGGTAATGACTTTAGTTCTAGACTTTTACTTTTAATTCTGTTTTACGTATGTAACAAGTACAGGAAAGATCTTTGTTGGTTTGTGATTTGACACATCAATTAGTAAATAACCAAATGAGCAGCTTACATATATTGTGCTTATGCAAAAAGAAAGCAAAGCTGTGTTGACTTCCCTAGTCTAGCAATAATAAAATCAGACAGCTGATTATATTGAGACAGAATGAAACAGATAATCACAACATTGGCATAGTAGACAGGTATTAGAGTGGGAATGTCAACACTGCCTAGCCTTACTTTTTCATAAGCATAATATAATCCATAGGTCTAAAATTGTGATTATTATAAATAGCATGGTATGCAAAGGTATCTATTTTTTCAAAATTATAAGAATTTGTTAAAAAAGAACAAGATGCAGTAAGAGAAACTGCTTTTTTGTGTTGAATGCTACTTAAGTAGACATTAATGCCATGGCAACCAATGTGATTAATTGAACAATTAGATGTACAGATATTGTTCCTAACATTGAAATCAGCATCTTGATTTTTAATAAAAGAGAATTCCTTTTGTAACTTTTCAGTGAATATGCATTTTCTCTCCTTACCTAAACTACTGCTTATGAAAATAAAATAATACCTATCTGTAATACAATTAAAACTTCCAATCCTGAATCTGCCATATATTCTAATCTCCTAAATAATTCTGAATCCATGGAAACAAGTGATAATTTAATAGAGAAATCATATGAAAATTTCATATTCTTTGATATCAATATATTGAATGTTTCATGTTAATTCATTGATCAATATTGTAGTATATAATATTGATTTATTTTCTTAGTCTAAACATTTATGTACATTCAGGACAAAGTAGTACAAACAGGTGTCTTGAATTACCTGTAATAAAATTGGGATAATGTGAAAATTCAGCACTATCCAGGAAATTTGGGACTTATGGTTACCTTATTTAATAGAAATTGGGTACGTGGGTCACATCTTTCATAATATTATTCGAACAGTTACTAATAGTTTGTTTATAGACATAGAAATGATTATTTGAAAAATGTATTTATTTTCAATCAAGGTAGCTAGTATTTGTGCCTATGGTTGAATGGGTATTGCAAATGATTTTAGTTTTGAAACTTTCTTTTCAATTTCAAGGAAAATGTCCACTATTTCTTCAGAATTTTTCTGAATAATTTGAAGCATGGTTACATTTCGCTCACACTCTAGCTTCATCATTTTATAAAGCAGTAATACAAATAGAAAACTAGGATATGACTGTTTTTGATATTATTAATTGTCTTAATAAGCTAAAAACAGTCTGTAATCGATTGGCATGAAATTTGTAGAAGGGAGAGGGAAAATATCAAAAATTTCGAATATAAAATTTTAGCTTTTGAGTTTTTATTAGTTTCGAAATTTTTGTAGAAATTTTCAGTTCTGTGCTACCGAATTCTACCTATACGTATACGTTTTTCGCAACGCGTGTGTGAATTCGAGGCCGCCGATCATTTACTATTTCTATAAACGCATGAAATACATCGTGACGGCCGAAATCAATGGGTATAACGGGTGAACTTAAAAATACAAACTTAACCGATTTCAATGATTATGATTTTCTGCTTCTGTAGTATGTATAATACAGGGTTATTTCATGTAACTGGAAAAAGTTATATCTTTGAAACGGTTACAGATAAAAAGAATGTCACAAGACAAAATTAAACAATTAAACAAAATTGTATTCTTTTTTTGAATGGAACCCTATAATTTTTTATTGTACTATTCGATGCAGCTTTTTAATCTCTACAAAAAATATTAAGCTATTTATGCCCTAAACCTAATAGTTCAAGATAAGAACTAATTAAACTGGTTAGGTCTGGGTTAAGTCTGAGCAAGACAATTATATCGGCCGCTATTAGGCGGTCGGCCACGAAATTCATAATCATTGAAATCGGTTACGTTTGTATTTTAAATTTACTCGTGATACCAATTGGTTTTCAGTCGTCTTCATATGTTTTCAAAATATGGAATTATATAACTGAATAATATTAATTAAACTCTCTTCATGGGCGGACATTGAGTCAGCATTTTCATGTATAAAAAATAGTTGCACCATCTCATTAGTTCATGGGTGGATTGAAATTGCCTTTCATTTTCGTGCTAATCATACTTCTTCATACTAATGTTGCAACTGAAAGAGTATTTTCCCTTATAAATAATGTTTGGACACATGACAAGGTTCAATATGATGCAAATATGTTGAAAGTAATATTGATAACTGAAGTAAATTATGATGAAAGTTGTATAGATTTTTATACAATGTTCAACAACATAAATAAATATGGAAAAATATAAATAATTAACTGACAGTAGGACTGAAACCAAAGATGGAATCAAAAATGCCTACTATTATGTATATTTTGTTTAATTATTATTATAAATATATTGGATATATATTTATATAGATGTATTATACAATTGAACATTTTATAATTGAGAATCCCCACGGTTCTAACTATTCCCATTTATTAGGAAAAAGATCCTAGATAGATTTCAATAAATTACTCACTAGATTAAGAACAAAACCATGTGGCAAATTCCTTACTATTCTAGTTATTCTAGAGATTAACAAATAACACAAATGCAGAGGAATAAACAAAATTTTATTATAAGTAAAACAAATTTTAACCATTTAATTTTTTAAAAAAGTAGGCTGAAGGATGGAATATTAAATTGTAGAACATGACCTTCCAAAGTAGGATGTTTGATAACCCTATGTTAAATGCCTTTTAAAAGAGGCCTCTTCTTTTGATATGAAGAATCTGCTATCCTGAAATTCATACTATGAAATGTTGTCTACCGTATTAAACTGGCTTCTCCTCCCTTCCCAAATGCTATTTCAAATAAAATCAAAATAAAAATTGTTTAGGGTTGAGTATAATGCTTTTGTATTTGTATAATCTTTGCACAGTTGTAAAAACACTGGTTCGTACGAGTCCGCAGTAATTAATATTTCCTTTTCTGTTGTGTCATACTTACTTGGTAGCATTAGCTTGTTACTTGGCAAAATGCCTAAAAATAGTTTGAAATATGAGATGTATCATGACAAGCATAGAATACAATTTCAAGGAAATACTTGAACTATAATAATAAAGTTAAATGATTTCATGATATTTATTTTGAATCCTGATATTGTAGGTATACAAAATGAGTCAAATAGAAATGGATCAAGAAACCGTATATGGGACTCACGAAGACAGCCATGTGGTCATGTCTGAGAAAGTTCAGAGCCTGGCTGGCAGTATTTATCAGGAATTTGAGAAAATGATAGCTCGTTATGATCATGATGTGGTCAAAGACCTAATGCCCCTTCTAGTCAATGTTCTAGAATGTCTAGATATATCTTATATAGAAAATCAAGAACGCGAAGTTGAATTAGAACTATTAAGGGAAGACAACGAACAATTGGTTACACAGTATGAAAGAGAAAAACAGTTAAGAAAAACGTCTGATCAGGTATGATTCAAATTTCTATAATATGGTGACTCTTATTTTTGATATTTTAGTTAATATAATATGAAATTATTCTTAAAGAAATAACATTTATATTTCTCTAACTAGAAACTGTTGGAGCTAGAAGATGCTGCGGAAGATGAAAGAAAAGAATATTTATCAAAAATTGAGAGTCTCGAATCGATAGTGAGGATGTTGGAATTGAAGACAAAGAATTCACATGATCACGGTACAAATGTCAATGGCTCTCCCAGTCCATTCCTTCACAGAACATCCCTCTACAGTAGAGTAGAATATTTTTTTTTTATTGTTTTTTTTTTTCATTTAATTGTTCAGTGGGTTAAATTTGATTGGACATACTGGGATGTGAATTTGTGCATGCATCTTAATACGAATTTATTTTAGAATTAAGCACTTTACTCGTTTGCGTGTATAACATTGTAGATAATTCCCTTTTATGTATGTTTTCTATTAGAATGTTATGTTTTATAATTTAAAGTTAAATATAGTTATGTAATTATATTATTTAGGTTTAGAGTGTGTTCTGTCATAATTAATCCTTGCAATTAAATGGATATAACAGATATGGTATATCATTTCTTGTATTTGTTTAGTTGTTCGTCTTGAAGAAAAAGAGGCAGAACTAAAACGAGAATATACACGACTGCATGAAAGATACACAGAATTATTTAAAACACATGTAGATTATATGGAAAGAACAAAAATGTTAGTTGGGAGTACGGAAAGATTAGAAAATGCAACTAGTGGTCGTGGTCTATCTCGTTTACCATCTCTTGGGCTGGCTCATATGTCTAGAAGTTCTGGACCATTAAGTTATGGTTTTCAGAGTTTAGAAGCTAGCATGAATGCAGAAGATGTTCCAGATGATAGTCCACCAAATGTTGCTAATTTAAGAACTGAAATGTTGGACAGCAGCAGTGAAGCCACTATAGAAACACTTGATAAGAGTCAATTAACAGATAAACCAGCACAAGCAAATAAAACAACTGCAATTTCTAGACGTATGTAATCTTTTGTATTGTTAAATTTTAAAATTTTCAATTCACAACATATACGTAATATTTATTTGATAATTACATCAGAATATTTATATCGTATTTGCTGTTTTATTCATAGATGAGAGTCCAGAAACTGAGGGACCTCCATTATTGGTTACACCTACATCACCAACGATAGGAGAGAAACTACCAATTACTCCAAGTGGAAGGAGTAGAACAGAACGAGAGCAACGAAGTGCCAATACATTGTACCAGGAACTTAGTTTTCAGGATGCTGATGCGTTGGGTGAAATGGATGAAGGAGCAGACATCACTGGTAGTTGGGTTCATCCTGGAGAGTATGCATCGTCGGGTATGTCTTGTAAATTAATTAACATTCATAAGAATATATCATTAGTCTATTAATCCTTTGAGTTCTTACTCATTTTTATATACAGAAGTACGATTCATACTTAATACATACTATTCTGTATGTAATTATCGACGAATCGAATAGTACAATACTCGTTTTGTATTAAAACAAGCATGCTCCATATTCCTAAATTAACAACGATAAGATTAATGTTCATGAATTCTATAAAAATTAACACCTAGTTAATATTAATATTCTATTTATAAACTTCCACTCACTGTTAGAATTTTAGATTAAACTCGAAATAATATGTAATTGCATAAATATTGGAACTCTAAGGGTTAATGTCATAATTACAATTCTTTAATATTAACGAAGTAAAATCTTATATCATACAAATTTCTATACAATGATAATATACAAGATATCCTGTAATGAGCGGTATAATCAAGAAGTAAATGATTCTACATGGAAAAGTAATTGGAAATATAGAACAAAATATTCTTGCGCTGTGCTTTAAAAACTAAAGCAACTGTTCGTATTTCGGACTTATAGAATGCGATAATGAGAACCTAAGAACCATAAACTCGATATTTCCTATTCATTCGTATACGATCATACATAAGTGTTAGAACCAATTTTGATGAATTTAGAGTTATAATCTGATATGAATAGGTTCAGTGGCATTCCATAACACTGGGGTTGTTAGTATTTGGTGTTTTGAACTTGCATGTATTGGGCTAAATCAAGTCTAATGATGTCAAGATTGTTAATATTGGCTTGAAAGTATGATCTAATATCAAGATATTAAGAATTATCAATTAAACGCATGCATAGTTCACATATTTTCAAAATTTATTTTCGCGAAAACGAAGTTCTATATAAAAAAATTGTATTTTTGGGTTATATTACTTTTTACAGGACATTGCATATGAACTACAAGATATAAAATATATACAACATACTACAATATATATAATATATTAATGTATTTTTGTGTTCCATTGTTTACCTTCTCATTACTGCGGGGTATTGTCAATTTTGACTAAATAATTGCATGACATAAATAATCCTTCATGCAGTCAATGACAACTTTTTTGGTAAGATATTACTAACTTTATATTATATTACATCTAAAATTACTTCAAAATGAATTATAGAATTTACTATTTTAATTAAGCTATGTTCCTGATAAAGTTACTTCAATTTATCTTGTACAATGAATAAAATAAAGCAATCGTGCTATTTTAAATGTATTAAAGAAGCGTCTTTCACTAGGAATGGGCAAAGAAGTGGAAAGTCTTATTATGGAAAATAATGAACTTTTGGCCACAAAGTGAGTATTGTATTAATATTTATATACTATGTCATTTATGTACACTAATATTTTTTTGTGTTTCAGAAATGCGCTCAACATTGTTAAAGATGACTTAATCATTAAAGTGGACGAGTTGATAAGGTAAAGTAACATATATTAGTATTTATTTAACTTAATCTGTTGCTTTATAATATCGAATCAAACTCGAGGTCCATATTATGAGCCATATCTGACAAAAATGAATCGCACCTGTAGTAAAATTTATTGCATTGCATATTGTTGCTTGATATTTGATGTTTAAAAAAAAATTGATTTTAAAACTTTGTTATTGCGAATCAAAGAGTTAATAAGTAACGCGAGCAAATAAACATTATTGTTTAACATAAATGAACATGATATTAGTGGTGATATACATATGTGAGAATACATACATCTTCTAGTGAGCAAGAAATATTACGCGAAGAAGTTCGGGGTTTGCAACAAACTAGGGAACGTTTACGGCAAAAAGTCGCTGCTCTTGAAGAAGAATTGAAGAATGTTAAGGAAGAGGCAGAGGCAGCAGCAAAAGCAGTCAAGAGTGACGACGAGGAAGATGTACCATTGGCACAAAGAAAGAGGTTTACCAGAGTAGAAATGGCCAGAGTACTTATGGAGAGAAATCAGTATAAGGAACGATTCATGGAACTTCAAGAAGCAGTTAGATGGACAGAAATGCTTAGAGCTTCTAAGACTGATCCTGCCAGTATATCGGGGGTAAAAGGTTCGGTGTGGAAGTTGTTAGTATCTCTTACATAAAAAAAAGAAATTCATTGTTGGAGCACATAATAATTTGTATTCTTTCTTTCTGTCTGCAGTTTTAGTAGTCTCTTCATAACACCTACAGGTCGGGGAACTTTGCTTCGAGGACCGCACACATTACCACACATTAAATATAGCGCACCGACAAATCAAGTTGTTCCAGCACCACCTTTGGGCACCATGCGTAGACATACGTTGAAACCTCGCCATGAGTTTTTCGACCAGGGAGACACCATGTGAGAAATCAATCAAATTCTATACACGCACTTAGATATTACGTTAATGCGACACTAAAGCCTGCCAAATTTTTCTCTATTCTCTAAGTAGGAATTAATTTTTTTATTATTATGCTATTTTCTAACTACAGTCACACGATATTGTGATTTTTCTACTATGCAAGTTTTCATAAGGATACAATGACAACATAAATTTTACGCATACATTTCTTTTGACATTTTATCAAAGCTATTGCAATGACGAAAATGTTTTACAATTTTTATGGGGCAGAATTTTAGATACTTGACTTTTTTATAATCTTTGAATCGACCTCATCTTTGCAGATTGAGTCCCCTTTGGTCAGTTGGGATCCATAATCTTTTTGTACCGCGAGTCTCAATTACTCTTGATCGCTCTTAAGAGACGTGAGTCATTTCTAAATAATTTCTTGCCTGAGCGATTTCTAATGTGATGGCTTTTAACAAATTATCGATCCGATTCCCATTTCACCTGCCATTTTGTAATAAATAAAGATCGTGGATGTATATTTTACGTGCAATATTGTATGCGTTTGTAATAGAATATTGAAATAGGATTATAGTTCATTCACACAGACAAAAACTTTCTCATTTTGACAATTTTGCTTTTATTCGTGCATCTATTTTTAGTCTTATTTTTCATAGATAAAGAAAATTGTAAATTATATTATCTGTATATTGAAACCGAACGTTATTTATATATTATAATATAAACCAATCTATCAGAGATAGATTTACCACTCATAGTAGTGGTTATATATTTAAATTACATACTAAATTATTTGTTATCTTTGCAAAGTCATGCTTGAAAAGCAATAGTTTTGTAAATAAAAGTTTGTACATTTTTGAAAGAAAGATAATATACGATCATTACTGATCAGCAAATAAATGAAGTTTTGACCATGTTATAAACTTGGCTTTTATTTCACTTTTGCTCTGCGCTTTGATTTTTCGTTCGGGTTTCAACCTTGCCTCTCCTTCATGGTGTTGTCAAGAGATACCTGGTTTTTCTGGTTTTCGGTGGGGTGCTTATTGGCCAGCAGGTAAATCTGTTCTGCACTATGTCTAACATTCCGCTTCTAAACCTGGATATAAATTTTATTGTGCAAGTAATAATGAAGCTGAACATTAGATACGATGGAATGAACAGTCAAATTAAGACTTCATTTGAATCGAAGAATGTGTCCAGTGATCAAGAACGTCTTCATAGGCACAAAAGGTTGAACAAACAACAGAGCGTCCCAGTAAATTATTAACTTCTACAATTAAAAACATTATTTTGATCGTGTGTGTATTAAAAATATGCAACAGCTAATTTATATTTCATACATTTTTACAGATCTTCTGAAAGACTCATGGCCAGACGCGCAAATGAACGGAGAGAGCAATATCGTCAAGTCCGCGCACATGTTAGAAAAGAAGATGGACGATTGCAAGCTTATGGCTGGAGTTTACCAGGCAAACCAAGCGCTCCAGTTAGACAACCTGTTCCTGTGCCAGTTTATTGCAGACCATTACAGGAATCACAACCTGGGATGAAGGCACGTTTGATATGTTAATGTGTACAAACAAGAAACTAGTATGTATAATAATTGCTTTCATTTTTTTGTTGTCCAGATATGGTGTGGTGCTGGTGTAAATTTAAGTGGTGGTAAAACACGTGACGGTGGTTGCATGGTTGGAGGAAGTGTATTTTATGCCGCCGAAGCTCGAGAAGTAAGTACCAATTCGAAAACTGATACCGAAGATGCTATTGAACATTTGGACAAGGAGCTTCAAGAGAATGAAAACCAGAGAGTGGAGGCAGAACACTTACAACAGCAACTCAGTTCGTTGGTTTGGATTTGTACATCGACTAAAACAATGTCAAAAGTTACTGTGATAGATGCTAATAATCCAGCCGAAATTTTGGAAGTTTTTAACGTTTGCGATGAACATTTACTTTGTATTGCGAGTGTACTTGGAGCTGAGGAAAGTGATTATGCTCAAGCTGTTAGCGAAGAAGAAGTACGAACTGCAAATGGAGTAACGGATAATGGTGGTCAGGAGAGGAACGTGAATTCAAATACTGAACAAAATAATCAGAAAAGTAACCAGGATAATCAAACTTTATCGGAGAAGAATAAAACCGAATCGGATAGTGTATTGGAAGAACAGAGTAATGAAAAACCTAAGAAGTCAGACGACACCAATCAGAATGCAACTACCGAACCGCAAAAACTAGAAAGCGTAGACAGTGAAACGACAAATCTGGGAAAAGTACATTTCGTGAAAGTTAACCAAGAAGTATCTTCTACACGAGTGAACGAAGAAAAGGGTGCAAATGAAGATAAGCAAAGTGACGAAGTTGAAGAAGGTACTCCTATAGAAAAAATGTCCTCGATACAGCCAACAATGTGGCTTGGGGCTCAAAATGGTGCAGTGTTTGTACATTCCGGTGTGGCAAACTGGTCGGTCTGCTTACATTCTGTTGTATTGGAGGATGCTGCGGTGGCTATTGTGTACGTAGAGGACCATAAACATTTATAAATTTACTTATTCTAAACAATAAAGTAATTCATACAATTATTAATTTAATTCATGACCAAAATTTGTCTTGCATTTTTTCTGTAGACATGTGCAAGGTCGAGTTCTTGTTGCTGTTGCCAACGGAACTGTTGCATTATTTAAAAGAGGTGCAGATGGACAATGGGATCTATCTCAGTATCATGTGATTACTTTGGGAAGTCCACTATATTCAACTAGGTGCATGACTTCTGTTAGTGGTAAAACTCTATGGTGCGGATATAGAAATAAGATTCATGTAATAGATCCAGTTTCAATGACTGTCGAGGTATACTTGTTTATTTGCATATAATTTTTCTCCGTTATAGGTCAAACGTTATTTTAAATCATGTGTTAAATAAACCTTCCAGTGTACCGTTGAAGCTCACCCACGTCGAGAGTCGCAAGTGAGACAATTAGCTTGGTTAGGCGAAGGAGTCTGGGTCAGTATTAGATTAGACTCAACGTTAAGGCTTTATCATGCTCATACTTATCAACATCTTCAAGACGTCGATATCGAGCCTTATGTTAGCAAAATGCTCGGAACTGGGAAGCTTGGTTTTTCTTTTGTAAGAATTACCGCGTTACTTATTTCCTCAAATAGGCTGTGGATTGGTACAGGAAATGGTGTGATAATTTCTGTTCCTTTATCTGAAAGTAAGTTGAGATATCAGTGTTACAATTATAAAATTAAATAGTACAAAGTTTGACTGAAAATGAAAAACGTATGTAAAATAGGTGCTGGTGGTACGATGACAGTATCTAGAATTCAAGCAGGAATTGGCAAAAATGATGTACCAGGAGTCGGTATTAGAATTTTTTCGTCAGACCGTGGTGTTACACCTGGAAGTTTTATACCTTATTGCAGTATGCAACATGCACAACTTAGCTTCCATGGGCATAGAGATGCCGTGAAAATGTTCGTTGCTGTGCCTGGTATGTCTGTTTAATAATTCTGTGGGGTCCACATCGCTTCCTGTACTTGCCGCCAGAGGGGCCGTTCCTCTCGCAAGCACTCGACCGAGAAACGCTCTCCCTACTCTCTTTCCTTACCATCTCTTCCACGGGACCCCCAAAATTCTATACATTTTTAAAGGAATATAACAATAAAATTCATTCAAAATTTGTTTGGATAATTGTAGGTCATGGTGGCCAGAGTGCAGTGACAAATGGTTCTCAACCAGCCATGCTTGTCCTTTCAGGAGGTGAAGGGTATATAGACTTTAGAGTTGGTGAGTGATGATATTAATAAGTTATTTATTTATATAGATTTATTTTATTAATCATTCGTTGAAATTTTCAACAGCTCGAGAAATTAAGCTCATTTGGAACATGCAAACTTGGTTTTTCATTTCATGATACTTCTAGTACATGACAAATTATGTATTATGCTATTAATATTGTTATAGAAAAAGAAAAAAAAACGTTACTAAATCTGGCACTTTGTGTACCATCTTGTTAATGTAAAGAAAAGAGTCCAATCAAATATTGTTTCATACGATTGTAATACTTCCAGCAGATGAGGCGGAAGACGAGAGTGACGTGGCGACTCATCTGATTGTATGGCAGTTGGTCAGGTATGCCCCCAGAGAGAAGTGAAGAGTGGTTAATGGGTCTTTACTTCAGTTTACACAAGTGTTTGTGCGACTGAATGGATAAATCATTTACGTTATTGATAATGAAACATATATACATACAATATACATACTAACTACTGAATGTTCTGTGCACGGTGTAATGAAATTTAACTAACATGTCCACAAGTAGTTAGATACATCTCTAACCTGACATTAAAAGAATCTACATCTTGTCTTTGTTTCTCTGCAAAGAACTTCGGTACATTAAGTGTACACGTGTGAATGTACAGAACTTTACGCAAAGTGTCATTGGTACATTAAATGTACACGTGAGTATGTACAGAACATCTGATTACATTTGTTATTCTTGGTTGGAAGAAAAATTGGTCTGGAATTGTTCGCTTGTGTACAGTACAAACTTATAGCTTCATAATCTCCATTAATACAAGGAACTGTGTCTGCACCTTCGTTTTTCAAAGCAACTATACACCCGTTACCATTATCTGCTTTCTTCATTCTCTGGGGGTTGGGAATTTCCAGCTGACATGCATCGTACTGTATAATACGCAACCGATAATCGCACTTCTTTTTTTTTGGTCATGAATCGTGAGTGTTCTTACTAATGTCTATGCATCGTATCGATGAATCTTTTTCTAGGTGATGGAGAGGAAACGGAAGAGAGCATGGAGAGACCCAACACTACTGTTGCCGCGAACGTTGAGGAACACGGTGAACAGAGCCATCTGATAGTGTGGCAAGTACAATGTCCTGTACCAGTGCCTATGAATGACTAGCCTAGGAACTTTGAAAGCATGCTGATCCCGGTGTATGGTCCAGTTTAAATTTTTACATGCGAATCAAGAATCTGAGTGGTTTCCGTTGTGCGTTGCGAAGGCACTGACAAATTGGACTTAACTTCTGGCCGTGTGAGATCTCACTGCGCCGGACTAATGTTCTATTTAATTATACCTATATAACGATAGTAGCGAATTACACGAAAGACTCCATGATCAAGTGGAAATATTCTGTAACGGCGAAGAGGTAAGAGATATTGTGCGATTTTTTTAAAGTACTACGAATTATTTTCGACGTTTTTAGATTTTCGTATTAAGATTTTTCGGGGTTTCTGGCCAAGTAACATCCACCGGTTACTAATTCCTTAGGTATTCGGTGTTTACCGAGGAAATATTTCTTTTTTAATGAAAAAACATAATTAGAATCTCTTAACGCTTATAATCCCTTAGCTTCTATCTAAAGTACGTTCTGTAAAGTACCTACTTATCGGCATACTAATTCGCTCTTGCGTAATGATAACGTAATTTATATAAAAATTATTTCAACGATCCTGCATGTTTACGTGGGTTGTTGGACGATATAGTTCCGGCGTTTTGATTGAGAAACAGCGTTCATCCTGACGCGCGTACTTCATACCATACGGGAAAAACTTCTGAAATGTTTTGGATTCAGTCCTGATCGAAGAGCATTACATTTCCGCCAACCAATGTGATAACCGATAAAGATACCGGACAATGAGTTTCACAGCTGCCGTGATGTCTGCTACCTAGCTGCATTAATATCTCCATTACCATCAAAGGTAAAATAACCTTTACATCTGTGCAGGGATTAGAGGTGCAATTGACTCTAGCAGCATTTAAGCATAATATATTGTACATTGTTTTAGTTAGAGAGTATATTATTTTTCAGACCTAAGTGGTTTAATTTGCGTCCAATATATACATATATGGAGTGTAATATATTTTTTATGTTCTAAACGACCGATCTTTTAATATCATGTCAGATCGCGTGCGTTCGCTTTCTTTAGGCTCAAACGACGGTCTCAAAGAGCGCCGGAATGAATTTCTGTACATATTCACGAGATATTTATAGCGCGTACGTGGAGAATTAATAATTTATGTTTTCGTTGACGAATGGAATAGAAGTGATTTTACTACATGCGTAAAACACAACGACGGTACATCTATTTCTTATCGTGTATTGCTGCAACTTTGTTTTACCGTCAGCACACTCCCTTAATTACCAAAGACAAGGAACGACTTTTAATTGTGTCCTTTGTACAATTTATAGCGAGATGGTTTAAAGTTGCGCGTCTAGACCGATATAGCGATTTCGACTAGAAGTAAACTTCTTGCATTCGGGATTGTGAGAGAGTCGCCGACACTTGGGCTTGCGAAACTTTTGTAAATTCCTATGTTAAGCGACAAACCGGTGAAATATAAGATGTGCATAATGTGTCAGGGCTGCACGTTATTGTGCGAGCTCGCTTTCGATGTCGAGCTCGGAATTGTACCTGGCTCATGATGAAGCTGTAATGGCGTTAATAAAGAAAGTTGCGAAACGGAATGAACCGGATTCATTTTTTCTACTGTAAGTAAACGAAATTCGCATTCTTGTATACCAGGGGTGTGCGTGTACACGTACCATTTTATTTAACATATTTGTGTGACATTTAAGTAGTTTTTGCAAAATGTTGCTTTCATATATTGATTATACATGCTTATTTCACTAATGAATTCTACATTGAGGGAAGCCACCATTTATACAGTTTGAAATTGTTTGAAACTGTACTGATTTACAAATGGCGACTAGTTCACCGACATTAGAACAGTTTTGTACTACTCCAGACTAAATGCAGAATAGATTTTTCATCCAATGCATTTTCGTGTCACGTGACTGGAGGAATTACGTAACATCTTCACCATTTGTATGTCACGTGTGACGTTATCAATTGAGAAAAGAACAAGACCATAGCACCACAGACGAGGTATATGTGGTTTAATTTGGCATAGAGTCTGCCATAAGCCCTCCTGATTAGGCGCCATCTCGTAGCGACTGCCAGAACTAAATTTGTCACATGACTTGCTCTGCTATTACGTAGCGTCGAGATCGTTTTTCAGTTAGAATCGGTATTATAGGATTTTACACGAAACCATAAACGAAGTATACACCTAACGAAAATAAATAATTGAATGAATGAAGGCAATGCACGTAAACTGTGCAACTGTAAATAAGATGCAAAGCAAAACAAAATTTTTTCTAAGTTTTGCTTTAACGAATCGTTCGTTTTCTAAACATTGTCTACTGAATTCCATAATTTTAATTTTTTTTGTAACAAAGACGTAGTTAAAATGTTCTTTTAATTTGAAGGCTCGTGTGTTCTTTTATTATTTTCATGTCATTTCCAACGTTATCGGTTCACACTAGAATTTGGATTTAGCGCTCTTAGTGTTTGGAATTAAAACTAAATATTGGAAGAATTTAATTATTTCGGAAGCAATCAAAATTAGATCTTAGGATCGTTACGTTCAATTTAGTGACCAATAGATCCGAAGAAAGTATTGAACAACATTTACAACAATGCTTAATAATACGCATCATGTAAATATCATTTGTAACTAACACATTATCAATAGATAGCTTCGAATGCAATCTTCTTCTCAATGGAAGTTCGTGTTCTAGCGTTTTGTCACGTGATCACATGGGATGAGCCAATCAGAATCAACCTTCCATACCATGTGATCGGAAAAATCGAAATGGTGGACGTATCGGGACGCAGGATCCCGAGAGGAGACGAAGGACGATAAACTGGGCAAGGGCCCATCATTCGTGTCATCGGTATTATCAATTCAGGAATACGATTAACCGTGAATATCGGTGTGATTTGAAGCAGGTCCGGTGACGACAGAGCCGGCGCAGAAGTATCGGTGACAGCGTCTCTTGTTTACTGAAGTGTCAATCCGCCCGTATTGTACGTGTGTTCTCTAGTTGCGAGAAAACAGAAGGGCAGTGTGTATCGAGTGCACAAGAACCACAGTTGTATGTATCGTTTTCTCAGTAGTGCATTTCCATAACAGTGTATGAAAAAGAGAAAATAGTTTCTAAATAAATGAATAGGAGGGAAGAAAACTGGCGATTGCGAACAGACGGCAGTGCGTTTACAGTGAAATTTTAAGCCCGCGGAAGCATGTCCAAGTATGCGAGTGCTTTGATGAACCGCAAGAATGTGTCACATCGAGCATCTTGTTATCAGCGAAGAAGGTAATAGAGAAATCGTATAGTTCGAATAGGCCTACCTAGATGTTTTCATTACATTCTTTGACGATGATACGTAACGACTAGTAAGTGTCATGCCTGGACGAGAAATTCCTGATGACTTTAAGCCCGGTTTACTCTGTTGACGTTCACACTCGCAGATCGCCGCTGATTGGTGGTATGGTCCATGACCCACCAATCGGCGTCAGAAGACGGTTTTCCTGCGAATGTCAGCCGTCAGGTCCGAGGTAATCGGTATCTGGGGAACGTATGTCGTTTTTCGCAATCCTTTGTGTATCCAACGAATGATCGATGTGTTACAATTACTGTTCACAAGACATTATTCAGAATATTATTTTGCATTGTTTCTTATTCTTCTGATACGATAAATTCGGGATTCTTTTATAGAAAAAATTACCGGTAAAAACGTAGGGACATCGAAAGATATTTTTAAATTCGACCATTGTATATTAGTCGAAAAAAAGTCAGAAAAAGAAAGAAAGTTTTTAAAGTAACAAAGGCACGTGTAAATCGTGAATTTTTTCATATTAAGGTTAGAACAATTTCTTAGTGTAAGTTGTTATCAAGTTCGATTTATATCGATTATTTTAACAAATAATTTGTGCTTATGTGATGTTTAAATGTAAAGTTGAATCTCTGTGAAAGCAAATAATATGCAGTGTTTAAAATATTAACATAAGTGATAAAGAAGTTTTTAATAAAGAAGGAAGTGTATTCTTGTATTATGTGGAAGACAAAAATTTAACATGTACATGTAGCAAGTAGGTTCATGTAACAATGTATAAAATTGATGTTACCAATGTAACAACAAATAGTTTGACATGAAATAATGATGTGTCGTATACCTTTTTTTTTCAGATAAGATACTTCCTTACGCACAAAAGTTTTATAATACGTACAAATGCAAATACATCTGTAATCTTTTGCAATAATTGTACTGAAATACTCAAGAGGCATGGGAATATTCATGAAGCATTGAAAACTTTGGATTATTGTCTCAGTGAGGAAACTGAGTTACTGCCTGCCAACAATAGCACACCTACAGTCTTTTCAAGTATATAGTGAATCTCATGATAAAATAATAATGGCTGTCAGAAAGATTTTGCTGGATGTCCAATGTTAAATACGTGATACCTGAATTAAATGTATTGTTTTATAAATTCAAAATACTCTAACAACTGAAGAACAAAATCAACAAGGATCTACAAAATTGACTGAATATATAAATTTAAAGAAGTGTAAAATAACTTTAATGACTCTATTTTATTATACAACAAAAAAATACATATATTAACTGATGATCACAATACTCTGTGGTATTCTGACCTATTCATTGAATTAAAAAGGATGAATTTAAAAGGATGCTTTAAAGATTTGGAAATACTTTACTATTCCTGTATACTATGTATCGTGATGAAAGAAAATTAATATCCACAAATTTTTATTTTGTTGAACCAATTATATATATATAAATATGGTTTTTTAGTTTATGAGTATTGGATAAATTTTTGAGTATATTTGATAAAATTAAATTAAATAAATTAATGCAAACAACACCTGTAAATAAGTCCAGTAATCAGTAAGACTGTAACAGTGAACATTTTTAAACAAAATGTATAAAAGTTATTTTAAACATTTGCATCAGTGGCTGTACATAATTGAGAAACAGAAAGAAGGAGAAACAATACATTTGAAATTCTGTATGGATGACAGAGGACAAATTTGTTAACCCTATTAAAACCAAGGTAAGTAAGTAAGTAAAGCCTTTGCGGACGAGTGTAGTCAAATAGCCGCCCAAACCTTTTTACTAGAGGTGTGCGAGAACTTGAAATATCGGGAACCCGATGGTCGGGACGAGTTGGATTTCTGAAAATGTTCAGGATTCTCGAAAGTCACGAGATTCCTGATATTTCGGGTTCTCGTACACCTCTAGTAAAAAGGCTTGGGCGGCTATTTGCCGACACTCGTCCGCAAAGGGTTAAAATTATATGTATATATATATATATATGAATAAAAATTATAACTATTTGTGTCTTTATATCTCTAAAAAATTTGATTTTATGTACTTTTAATTTCATAGGGTTAAAAAAATGGATAGCTGTTGCTCAGGAGTAGTGCAAGTATTTGTGGGTGAATGGAGCCCAGAATATGAAGCACTTTCAATTAAAGCTACGAAACAGACTTCATCGGCTGAAATAGTAGAATGCATCATTGAAAGACTTGGGTTAGTCGATGCTTCTGTTTCGAATGGTTATGAATTAGCAGAAGTGGTAGGAAATTCTGTTGGACAAGAATGTAAAGAAAGAAGACTTGGCCCAACCGAGTGCCCTGTAGCACTTATGTTACTATGGCCAAAAAATGCAGTACAGCAAGAATATTACAGGTAAGTTAAAATTATAAATAAGAGACAAGATTTGTAAAATCAACAAAGGTATTGATATTGGGGGGAAAAGCACACTAACATTATTTTACATATATTTTTTTTATTTTCTAGGTTTTACTTGCGAAAGAAGCAACCCGACTTGTGGTCAGATAGTAGATTTCCAATGGATCCACAACTCCTGAAGGACTATTTTAATAGATTCCTGTATCAACCGCGCGATAAGGAATATCCAGATTTGTGTCAACTCCCAGACCTCAATGAACAAACTTTGTTGGATAACCTTCGAGCTAGGTTTCTAGCTGGGAACATATATACCTATGTCGGCAGCATATTAATTGCACTCAATCCATTCAAATTTTATCCTATCTATAATCCAAAATATGTAAAACTCTATCAAAATAGAAGATTGGGGCCAGATATACCTCCACACATATTTGCCATAGCTGATGCAGCTTATCATTGTATGCTTAAAGAAAAAAGAAATCAGTGTATTGTGATTAGTGGTGAAAGTGGATCGGGTAAAACGGAATCAACAAATTTTCTACTGCATCATTTGACAGCGCTTAGTCAGAAAGGTTCGCACGGTAGCGGTGTTGAACAGACAATACTTAGTGCTGGTCCAGTGTTGGAAGCGTTTGGAAATGCAAAAACGGCACACAACAACAATAGTAGTCGTTTCGGCAAGTTCATACAAGTGAATTACAAAGAAAATGGAATGGTGCATGGGTAAGAATTTTTATATACAAGCATGAAAATGATTATATAATTTCGCGACGAATTACGAGAATCTATCGTAAAATTACTAGGGCCGTTGTACAAAAGTATCTTTTGGAAAAATCAAGAATAGTTTCCCAAGGAAGAAATGAAAGAAATTACCATGTATTTTATTATCTCTTGGCTGGAGCAAATGAACAAGAAAAACAAGTTCTGCATTTAGAAAATTGTGATCGTTATAATTATTTAAATAAAAGTGGCTGTTACGGACTTGAAAATATCGACGAACGACACGAATTTTCAAGACTAAAACAATCTATGGAAATGGTTGGATTTACACCAGAAAAACAGAGACGCTTGTTTGCAGTTTTGTCAGCCGTTCTTCTACTTGGTAATTAGAAAATTTTCTTAATAATAGGGTAAATTAACTAACCGTTGAGAGCTCGGTGATGCAATCTGTGGAACCACGGTAGCTCTTCCTGCACGTCTGGTGATATGCAAGTTGTTGAGTTTGTTGTGGACTCTGGCTCACTGGACTCTCTCTCGTTCGTTGTACGTTGGGCCGTGTAATGTTGTTCGTACAACTTTTTGTGATTGTCTATCTTTGTATGTCAAGTGTCGCGCCTTATATGCTATTGTAAGAAGCCAGCCGCAGTCAATCAGAACTTTTTTCGTTCAGGATTGGTGAGCTGATACTTCTTGTATTTCGCGTTCGCGAGGGTGGGTCCTTTATGACGGCTATTATGATATTACGTTTACATTAATACTAAAGCCATTTACGCTAATGGCTTGTAGTGATAATGTAATCGCCGAATTGCTGTTGTAAACCGAGCGGCATGTTTCGCGACGCAACACTACCCATATTTAATTACTTCAGGTAATGTGGAATTTCAACCTAGAAAATCTTATCATCATCACGATGAAGCAGTAGGAGTGAAAAATCCTGATGTGGTTGCTCTGATATCTGAACTTCTTAGAGTGAAACAAGAGACTCTTTTGGCCGCTCTTACTGCCAAACGTGCGAGAGCTTCTGGAGAAACTTTAGTCATTAACTATAGGCTTCCAGAAGCAATTGCGGCAAGAGATGCCATGGCCAAATGTTTGTATGGAGCATTATTTGATTGGATTGTGCTTCAGGTAAAATACCGTTTCTTTTGTTTCAAAACGCGCATTATGAAGTTACATGAAAATAAGTTGGAGTATTTTTTTTTTTTTAGGTTAATCATGCTTTACTTTCAAAGAAAGATACGCTTAGAGATCATCAAGGCAATAGTATAGGTGTATTAGATATTTTTGGTTTTGAAGACTTCAAAACGTGCAATAGTTTTGAACAGCTGTGTATAAATTATGCAAACGAACAATTACAACACTATTTTAACCAGCATGTTTTTCAATATGAACAACGAGAGTATCGGAAACAGGGAATTAGATGGACGGACATAGGGTACAGTGACAATTCGGGCTGCTTAAATTTAATAGAAGGAAAACCAAGTGGCCTTCTCTGTCTCTTAGATGATCAGTGCAAGTTAGTATCAAACCTTATTTTAAGTAGATTGATCTCTGCATTATGTTTCATTAAATATTGAAAATGTTTGCAATAGTTTTCCAGGTGCAACCAATGAGACACTGCTACAAAAATTCAATTCGGTACACAAAGACAATCCATTTTACGAAGCACCACAACGACGAGAAGCAGCCTTCGTTGTACGTCATTATGCAGGGGCTGTTAAGTATCAAGCTTCTAATATGAGAGAAAAGAACCTGGATTTAATGCGACCAGATGGCGTAGTTGGTGTTTTGAAAAATTCTTCCCTCGCTTTTGTCCGAGAATTAGTGGGTGCTGATCCAGTTGCAGTATTTAGGTGGGCGATTCTTCGAGCATTTTTTCGAGCTCATTTCGCTTTTCAAGAAGCAGGTCGAGTTCACAGACATGGACGAGGTATGTATGATATATTTGTTATATTATAACAAAATATAATTTTCATTGAATAACCGTTCGCAAATGTTTTCTATTTCAGCCGACGGTACGAAAACGTCTGTACAAAACAGGTATAGGACACCGAACGAGAATTTGATAAGGTATTTATTACATTGCTATTTGATCTCGTATTATTTTTGCTCCCGTAAATGGGTGACTAAAAAAGAAGTCAAGTGCTAGTTTACACATAATAAAGCAACATTTGTTAATTAAATAATAATGATCGTGATAAACAAATGCCAATGTTGTTGCGCTTCTTTTCGAGTATGTTTGATCTGCATATTTTCTCACTCCACAAAGTATAAATCTACGTTGTGCGTTAATAATATTTGCATCAAGCTGAGGAAGTTCGTATGTGTTTACAATTAAAGCAAACGTTAATTATATTTACATTGGCGAAATGTCTTTTGTTCTTGTAGCCATCTTGTGACGTTGTCGAGCGTCAATCTAACTATTAACCGAATTGCGTAAGTGGCCTTTTGGATCCACTGTATGTGTCATTTTGGCAAACGTTACATTTTTTTAGGTTAAGGTGTTTTATGGATTTACAATGTTTATTCGTGATATCGTAACAGAATTAAATTAACATTTACAATCGTAATTTAAATGACTCAATAATAGTACAAGTAGCTGCAGGAACTTGTAAATCCATATAATGTTTTTCAGTCTTGTGTGTTCAAGATATTGTTTAGAATTGTATGTATGCACCTTTTGTATTAAGTGTGATTAGAGTGCAATCTTCATGACTTTCGCTATACAATTCCATTCTGTCGTTTGATGATACACAGGGTGTGTCCGCTAGGGTAATACGCCGAGTATGTGTGGATTTTTTATGAGAAAATAAATCATAAATATAGAATAACGATGTTTTGTTTGTCGCACTTGCTACGCTTTCGATCTATTAGATCGTATTGTAATAGCGTTAGATTAGTTATTGTATATTTTCGATTTATTTTTTGATAAGAAATCGACCCATACATGATCGTACCATCCGATCCGAGACGCCCTGTATTACTACTTTACTTGCTATTATTCTGGAGCATGATTAACAGTTCAACAATAACTTTTTATTTGTAAAATTCATACCAATCATTGAAATTCACATTATTCCATTGGAGTCACTCATGAGTTATCAGTTTTCCACAGTCGCAAATAAAATTTTAGGTTTATTCAAACTAAGCATTCATCTTTAACAATGTGATTACTATGTAGTTACATAAGAATTATCTTAAAACTAAGCATGAGAGACTTTTTCAGTTCGCACAAACATAATCGTCCACCAAGTTATCAGAAGCAGCGCAGTGTCTGTATACCATCAACTATACCCACTACCACATTATCTTCTATACAACTCGAAAACAACGACAATGTAAACAACAACCGATTGTCGTGGCCACAATTTCGAAACATTAATCAAACTCAACACCCGTCCAATGTAACGATGATGAAGGGTTACTTAATAAGGGGCAGGGAAGACCAGCCTCATAGTAATAATAAACTCAGACGAGATACTCATACACCACTAGAGAGGGTGCTTCCAAAAGACGAAGCAAACGTCATGGAACGCGCTAATCAAATAGTCATGTATGTAAACAGCAGCTACTTAATATACAATAACATTGTACTTTAAGCTACAAAAACTCACTGCTCTACAATAAAGGTAGTGTGTGCTCTATAGTGATTCTGGGTGAAGGATTTCTTTTCATAGGTAACGGCCTCTTTAGTAGGATATTAATGGTCTTCCCATGCAAAATCATATATATCACTGCTTTCCACAAATATTCATTACTTTCGAAATTTTTCTCGTGTTTTTCAGAAGTACGCCATAGTGATCATTTTCTTTGAATATATCATAATATTCATGATCATTGTCCCTTAATTTTAATGTTTTAGTCGTGAAGTTTTAATGATTTTTTGTAATAATTGTAGCTATAACTGGTGCATGCTGATTTCACAATAGTAGTTCTCTCGTTCGTTAAACTCGGAATATACAAATTAGCCCATTCACAACTTACATAAATCTAAGATTGAGCTTCGTTTAAAGATCAATAATAATCATATGGAATTACGTACTAATGTTTGATTAATGTATACAATCGGTAATGGGTTTGTTTGTATTATATGCTGTCCAATGCAACAAATAAATTCTTTAAAAAAATCGTATGTTACCGAACTCCTCGTGTTATAAATGCGTGCCCTTTTGCTAGCAACTAATTGCAATTACTTGCACGGTATAAAATTTTCTCTAGAAAGAAATAAAATTTATCAATAAAGATATTAACTTTTTATATTAGTAGTTCAGAAAGTATGCAAAATGCTTGTTATTAATATTAATACTTTGTATTAATCGTTTATCTAGTGCAATAAGCAAATTGAATTTCTCTCATACTATTTAGGATTTCTTTGAATTTGCTAATGACTATCTCTATACACAGTTAATTCTATTATCACATGCTTCTTATATTTGCTACCATAATTAAATCATATGGTTGACAAGACCATAATATGGTTCTGCTAAATGTTTGCTATTTATATTTTATGGTACGTTTGTTAAACATATATTAGCAATGTCATACATGTCATTGTAAGAATTATGTACTCTCCTTTTCCTGTTTTCCTATTGCATAAAATAATAATACTAGCAACATTGAATTGGTCAATAAAAATCCTAAACATGCAAGTAATTACAAGACGACATACATAATTTTCTTTGCGATTTTTGATTGCAATTTATATATCCTTTTAGTAAGAATTTATGAAATAGGAAAAGGAGTCCGTACACCATTGCTTAACGTTAACGCATTGAATTTTAATGCTTTTACAGGAAAAACAAATCATTTCGACCAAGAGAACGTGGTAAGAAGGGTTTAAAAAATCTTCAAACTGTAAAAACACTTGCTGGTAGAACACAGAGTTATGGCACGGGACCCGGGAAAGCAAGAAAACAGCCCATGACAGTATCAGCGCAATTTCAACAAAGTTTGCACAGTCTTATGGATACCTTAAATCAGGCAAATCCTTTCTTCATTAGATGCATTAAAAGCAATGCTAATAAGGTACCAAATGAGTTTGACGAAGAAACTGTACAACGGCAATTACGATACACAGGAATGTTAGAAACAGTTAGAATTAGGCAAGCCGGATTTAACGTTAGATTAACGTACGAAGAATTTATTCAACTGTATAGAATGTTGCTACCCAAGGGTTTGTTGAGTTCGCAATCAGACGTTAGAGACTTCTTGTTGACGTTGAATCTTAATAGAGACAACTATCAACTTGGGACGACAAAAGTGTTTCTCAGAGAATCAGAGAAAATCAAATTGGACCGAGAATTGCACCAACAGATCATCACAAGTATTACGACTATACAGAAATGGTTCCGCGCATGTCTGGAGAGAAGGAAGTTCCTTAGATTGAAAAATGCGGTTGTGCAAATACAGTCATTTTGGAGAATGATCATTGCCCAACGGCTGGCACAGTCTTTACGCGCTAGAATTGACGCCGCTGTTCACATCCAGTCTGCTTGGAGAGGTCATAAGCAGCACAGTTGGTTCAAGAAATTCAAGATGTGTATGATTACCTTTCAAGCTCACGTTAGAGGTAATAACGCACGAAAGGCTTTCGCGGAATTGAAGAAACGAAAGAAGTTACTCGCCGATAAAATTGGGGAATATAAAGAAACTCAAGATCATCGGGATCTTGCGTACGATAACAGCAAGATATTCTCCAGGCTCAGAGATAGCGAAGAGTAAGAATCGTGGTATTTGCATGACCTTGTAACGTAGTCGTAAATTCATTACTAATATTTTTTTTTGTTCGATACTTAGATCCCTCACGGACGATCATGCGTTGCTGGACTACAGTACGAGTCGCAAAATGGAATCTCAGAATCGACTTACACCGGCAAGGTAAGTAAATATTTATTTACGTGCTTAATCAGTTACTATCGCGTCGTATTGATTTACAGAGCGGATAATGTACTTCGGGATAGCACGATCGACACAAACATGACATATTCTAAACGTAAACTTGCTCCAAATACGAGAACCATGCACGAACCCAACACGATTTTGAAAAATATAGAACCTTATTCGTCCGAAGAATTTAACGAACGTAAAAGCAGTTTGGAAAGCTTGACTAGTTTACGGAGCTACGAATCTCAAGTTAGCGTTAACAGCTCCGAGTCGCAAGAAAATTCTTGCTGCAAACCTATACCGAGCACCAGAACGAAACGTGGCGATAATTTCCCCGTAGTCACGGTAAACACAAACTTAGCAAACGCTTCCAGTCGACATTCGTCCGTTAATAAACGCGCGGACAGTTCGTCGACAGGGTACAGCGACGGAGAAACTGATACAGAAATTCCAAGCGCTGTACAGAGCGCGCCTCCCATTTTCAACACTGCTCCGCCATTCCCGTGCCCACGAGACATTAAATACCATCAGTCTAACATAAATTTGACCCAAAGTCCAAATTCCGACATCTGGCGACGTCGGGGAGATTTCACGTCTATTAACTACAGTGATTATTTAATGTCTGGTCCTCACAAAACAACGTTAACTCGCTCCCCAAATGTCTCCCAGTATAAGAATATAGCGGACAACATATTCGAACAAACGCAGCATGAAAAGCCGAACGAAGCATCGAATTTTAACGTGAAACTGGATCAAAATGAACGGTTCGTTCATATAGAGAGTTCTTCGGGCAGGGAACAACGTAGATTGAGCGACAATAGCGTACCTAGCGAGCGAATGGAAAACGTTCCAGCCTCGTTGATCAGACGCGATCAGACTTACGGCCACAAAGAAACGAAAGATTTTAGTTACTTAAGAAGACAAAACTCGGAAGGAGATACGTCCATGAAGTTAGACCCCGTGAACGACGAGAACGCTTTGAAGAGTCCTTTGCTGATGGGATCGTCGCCCAAGGAGAAGAACTTAAGACCAAAGGAGAAATCTGAACCCGATGTGCCTGTCAGGAGCGCAAGACGAAATCGTCCGTCTCGAGAATTTCATTGTAGATCGATGGGCGAGAGCGTATCCGACACGGGCGGCACAGAAACGAAGAGTCTCTTTCTTGGCACGATCAAGGAGAGCGACTTGAACAAATCCACGAACGTGTGGACCCGCAAAGACGGCCCGCACGAAACTGCTTCGAGATCCGTCACGGATTGGCCCGTGAACAAAACCGAATCCGCGTCCAAGACCCAGCAACCGGGCAAACGCATGAGATCCAATGCTATAACGACTCTCGATCTGAGGAGAAGGAACTCTGATCCGGCTACTAAAATATCAGGACTCAGCGAGGACAAGCCTGGTACCGACACGAGCCCCAACGATCTGAAACTCGCTCCTGGAATGAATCTGTTGGAATGGAAAGGAAATCTTTTCACGTTGGCTGGTCACCGTTTCAGAAAGGTAGCGAGGTTCGCCAAAGATGACGTGTGCGTTTGCTGCCACGAGAAAATGGACGCGTTCGTGACGCAGGGATACAAGTGCGTCGATTGCAAACAGCTGTATCACGTGAAGTGTATCCAGAATGGCGGAGTACTTAAGATGCCGTGTATATTGGCGAACACGCCGGGCAGACGAAAGAACAGAAAGCCGCCGCGCACGCCCTACGACGCCGCCAAGCAAACCGTCGCGTCAAAGTTCAGCTTGACGGGCACTTCTGCTTTCTCCGACAGCACGGACAAAATCATATCCGACGCCAAGGAGTTGGCGCTGATGCAGGACTTCATCACCAAGAAGATATACATAATGGAAGGACAAGAGGAGGGCAGGAAACCCAGCGAGGTGGACCGCGTGTTCAAGCAGGCTTTGCGTAAATTCAAAGACGACCTGGTGATCACTTATAGCGTCGCCATTCAACAGGGCGTCGAAGGCAACATCAAGTACACCGATTTGATAGCCAACTTCTTGCACGTAATGGAAACCGTTTGCAAGCAAGAGAACACACGCGAGGATTTTCCCGTGACAATGGGAGTGAACGCGTTCAGAGGGTTCATGAACGAATTCATGACGCTAGTCAAAACCGAAGCGCCGGAGAAACAGAGTAAAAGCAAACGCAAGAAGGAGAAGAAACGGAAACAAGAGGAACCGACACGTCACGGGAATCACATGTTCCAGTTGACGATCATAAACATACCCACGGTCTGCGAGGTGTGCTCGTCATTCTTTATGTGGCCTATCGAGCGAGGACTCGTCTGTCAGAGTAAGTATTATTTTCACGTTTACCTTTATTATTCTCTGTTACATAAGAAAAGGGCGTTTAAAATGTTCTTAGCACGTTTCTCGCGACGAAAGTTGACAACTAAACAAAGTTACGTTAACGCATTTCCGACATTTAATACAAGCGATTCAAACGCTAACTTTTAGTCTCAAATTTCCTGTCCAGGATAGGTCAAATATTGGAGTTTATTGAACATGTCTGTACTTATCTTGAAAGTTCAAACAAATATTGCCCCAAGGGCATAGAATTGGGCGCTGACGAGAGCGGGTCCCCGTCACCATATTGGCTACGGACTGCTAATACGATACCGGGTTGCAAGCCCCTAAGCATCCATATTGGTTGGTGCGGTGCTTATGTCTGTACTGTTTCTGCTGCAATAGTACACGAGAGTTGACATAGTCACACCGCAACTCCCATGGCGAGCCCCTCTGTCCTGCGATATAGGACTACTCACTGCCACTATGATGGTCCAACCCATTGATAGAATAGAGTTATCGTCCTCCCTTGCTTATTGAAACTAAAAAAAATTTGATTTTTATACTTCCGAGCAGTAGTGAAATTTAAAAATCAACATTGAGGAGGTCTTCTTCGGGAAGTAGGAGATTGAAGTTCTATTAACTTCATGGTAGATTTGCCTCTCAACCTTTGCATTTGAGTTTTATTATTTTTTGCAAATCCTCGTTCGAACTTACAGGAACGAAATTGAAATTTATATCTGATGATGGTGAAAATAATCGATTTGTAACTGACAAAATTTGACGTTTATTCGATAGAATAGTTAAATTGTAGAATAAATTATTAAATAAATTATTTACTCGTTAGAAATGTATATCTAGAGAGCGATTTTGCCTCTTTGATTTCAAGGAATTTCTTTCATGGACCGCTCGGGATTTCGTCGAATGCGGCAACGAACCGCGTTGATGTTCTCAGGGCTTAGTGCGGTTTTTGGTCGACCTTTTCTTGAGCAGTCCTAACTATGGCCAAGCTCCTCCGGTTTTATAGCATGGTAAACCGTAGAACGGGGCACATTAAGCTCCTTAATAACGAACAATGAAGATTTCCTCTCTCGTACAAAACAATTACAGACAATCTGTTCTTATTTGCTTTCATCTTGATTTAAATTGATATTAAACAGACACACGTATTATACAGAGTTTCATTGAGGACAAAATGGAATTACTTTTTGCCTAATAAAATTTCAAAATTAAATAAAATTTAATTGTGTCTATGTATTTGCGTAGCATAGATGTTACAATACAAATAGTTATAACTCGGAAACGAGCTAATTTACAGAGTTCGCTTGTCCATAAATTTTTACTTCACTATTATACAAGATTCAGTAGTGTATAGATACAGCGAAACAAAAGTAGTAACAGACGTGACAACGCTCTTTTATTAGAAACGTTATTATTTGCTCGGCGCGCTAAACTTTTAATGATACCCGAGCGCAAGAAATATTGAATCAGCACGGCTCGACAAATAATCACAAACAGGAATAAAAGTTATGTTTATTTCAAATATGCGACATTGATAGAAAATTTTTTATGAAAAGAAACTTTATGAGAAAAATGTCTAAAGAATTAATTTTAATTAACTGATCAAGTCCTTATTTTCTACACGTAATTACTATCAAATATATCTTACTATCATTAAACGAAACAATATTTTCGAGTATTTCGAAACATTTACCGCGGGTCAAAGTGGAGCCAGCCATTACCAGCCGGTGGGTGAAACGCATTGACACGGTCGCGTTTCTCTGTCTAGATTGCAAGCTAACGTGTCATAAGAAATGCTACATGAAAGCGTCGTCGGAGTGCGGGAAAGAAGCGTCGCTGCACGAAACGAACTCTCGTAACGTCTTCGGTGTCCCGTTGTACAAATTGGACTGCGGCGACGGGAAGGTGCCGCTGGTGGTGGATCGATTGATCACTACCATAGAGATGCATGGTCTCTACACGGAGGGCATATACAGGAAAAGCGGCGTCAGTTCGAAAGTGAAGGAATTGAAACTGAAGATGGACGAGGGCGACTTGGAGAAGGTGGACTTCGAGAATTACCAGGTGCACGTGCTCGCTGCCGTGTTGAAGAGCTTCTTTCGTGACATGCCCGAGCCTCTGTTGACTTTCGAGTATTACGACGACTTTCTGCACGCTGCAAACCTGACGGACCCACGCGATCGTATCAGCACGCTGTTCGCGATCCTGAAGAAGCTACCGAAACCGAACTTCGACCTGATGGAACGTCTGATCGTCCATTTGGCCAGGGTGGCGCTTCACGAGGTCGACAATCGAATGTCACCGTCTGCCTTGGCGATAGTCTTCGCGCCGTGCATACTCAGGACGAATAGGACGCTGCCCGCGCAGGACTCCTTGCAGGACGTAGGCAGGCAGACCTGTTGCGTCGAGACGATCGTACAGGAGAAACTGAGGGTCGTGCGGGCAACATTGGCCGATATAAATACTCTCGAGTCCGCCTGCCACACGGCCACTCATCGGCTGTCCAGTTTGCGATCCTCCAAGATCTTCAGCCCGGAGGAATTGAACGCCGCAGCCTCGAACGTGGCCGCCAGAGGCAACACCTCGGATCGCGACAGAGATCGGGGCGACGAGGAGGCGCTTCTCGTCGATCATATACAGGAAATCCAGAAGGAAAAGGCACTGCTAACTTCCACCCTTCCCAGCCTGACGAGGGCTTCCTCAGACGACGACTTACTTCTGTCTGCCACGGACCTGGACGATGGCTCTCTCGATGATCTTCTTCCATCCTCTGCCGGTAAATCGTTTGGTTAATTAATCAAATAATTATGCTAATACATGTTCAATATATTTCTAAAGGCTCTGGTCACCATTAGAAAAATTACAAACACTTTCGTTCGCGTGTTTGTATCTGTTCGATGACCCAATTATATCGTAACGCTTTCATGCATTTATTTCTTCGCTGTCGTTCGGTAGATTGATAATTAGATATTGGATATATATCGAATTTGTCTAAATCCACTGAATGCACCGATGGGTTCTTCAACTACTGTTTCTGATTAAAATAGGGCACATTTATAATTTAGAGAAATGGATCGATCGGATTGCTGGATATTTAAATTAAAATCTGTCCGTCAACCGTTTCGACAGAACTGGGCTCTTTTGAGATAACGTTATTTAAATTGATATTTCAAATAGAATTTTTTTAGAATTAGATCTTTTTGCATTGATGAAATAACAAGACGATAATTAGGAAAAAGGTCGTTCGTGTACTAAACATACTTTCTTGATATTTTGCAAATCCATCAGTACATAATGCACTAGGTTCCTTTTAACCTCTTAGGCACGATGCGCCACTATAGTGGCTTTGGCGGATGTCGTCTTTTTGAACGACGCGCCAGTATAGTGGGCCAATCTAGTGGCTCACTCTAGTCGTTCATTGTTTGAATTAATTGATCATTTTCATACGTTTTGTTTCACACTAATTTTGCCTTTCAAACGTTTTATAACAGTGTTAACAATATACAGTCTTTATTTTTGATACGGCAATGTCAGTGTCATTCCAATATATTTGCGTAGAGAACAGCATTGCCTCGCGCAAAATTCAGTCGTGCCTAAGAGGTTAAAGAGAAGAATTGTGGGTATGCGAGATTCATTGTTTCAAGAAACGAACGATGTTGTCTAAAAAAGAATAATCGTAACGTCACAATGTACAGTGAGCCGGAGGAGGCCAATATTCGAAGATGGCTGCCACCGGCGATAACGATAGTAAATAAATACACAACGTAACGTAAATATCGGGCGATTTATGAAGTGTTTCGTTTCGCGTTTGTTCGCAGACGGGCTCGTGAGAAAGAAACCGATTCAGAGACAAAGTTCCGCGGACAATGCATTTCCTACGATCATCAGCGTCGACGAGGACATGGTAATGGTATGACCATAGAGGGAAAACATTATCTCGACGAATGATCGATATGTGTAGCAACATGACACGCGCTGTGAAGCGTCGACTGACGGCAGCGAATCGACGAGTCTTACTTCTGGTCTCATCGGCAAGCCGCTAGTAATTTAAATAAGTAGTAAAACACGACATTAGGTAGGTCTAGTAATTTGTTCCACGCGAAGTTAAGCTGATCAAACGTACATACATATACATATACATATTATATATATATATACATACATATATATATATATATATATACACACACATATATATATATTTTTTTCACTCTGTCGCAAAGCTTTCAGAGGTTTCTAAAGAACGATTGACAAATTACGCGAGCATACAGCTTCACGTGAAAATGTACTAAATATTCATTTTATAATCTATTTTTCTCTTGGAATGCATTCCTCTTTATCGAAGACTGTCAATCAGGCTAGGTGTTTAGGTGAGAGACGAATTTATCGATGCAGACGTATATTCGCGTCGCAGGTATTCCAACGGTACAGAATATCGCGCGTTTCGGTCTGTCACGATTCATTCTTTTCCGCACGATCGACGCGAAGAGTGGAAAGCACGTACGGATCATGGTTAGATCTTTTACGCGAAAAAAAGAACAAACGTTACTGTTGCGTATCTCTACTTTTTTTTTTTTTTTTGAAGTCGCATTTCGATACTTGTTCTAATCGTGTTTCTTTTCTGTATTATCATCGATTCCTTTACGAACGATAAATTCCCTCTTCTCCCCTTGTTCAGATTCCACTCCGTTCTTTTACAGATTTTATAGACTGTTGCGTGAATCATACAGACACACACACGTAGACACACACACATATACGGACGAAAGTAACTCTTTTCCTTAATTGTAACGGAAGCGTAAATTTGCAGCTTTGTTTCGATAATCACAGAGTCTAGAAGCGAAAGCGTTTCCAGTATTCTTCGTTGACGGGACACGAGGATGTAGGCGCTTCGATCGAACACGATGATCGAAGGCCGCGTAAGATAACGAAGGCACTCTGGTCGGGTATCATTTTTTTTTCTTGCCAGGCATATTTCGTTGATCCTTTTATGGAATACTCGCGCGCGACTCTATGGACCGTTATCGAATCACCGAGGGATCCGTGTCACGCGAAAAGAGAGGGAAAAGAGGAAACCAAAATAGTAGCTTTGTACATATTATACGATATATTAATGAGCATCTCGTAATAGATCTGTTATTATTGTTAACTTTACGAGAGACGTTACCAAGATTATATTTCTACTGTCGATGTTCGTCGCGTAGGGCTTACATACAACACGCCTATTTGTCGATAATGTGTACACACATACACGAACACGTACACACAGGGCCTGCCAATTCTTTTCGTTCTCAAATTAGTTTTTTTTTTTTACTTAGTGTAACTTCCGTTCATGCAGAGACTCCTTTATACATATTATATATATATATACACACACACACACACATACAAAAACAAGTCCGCGTACACGCAGGACATTTATATACGAGTACTTATGTATATACAGAGATTTTGTACGCACAGGACTGAGCAGACGGTTTTTTTTTACTTGAGATTTATTACAATTTCGTTTTAGTTTCCCCCTGTCGTCCAGTGCCTCTTTTTTTTTTTTTTTAGTTTCCGCTTTCTTTTATGTTCGCCTCCCCTTCGTTCCCGCCCCTTTTTTAATACACCCAGCCAGCGTACAGTTCTCTTTTTTCTTTCGCGCCAGCCCACACAGAACAGCTTAACAATTGTAGAGGTCGGGAATGATTCGAGCGAAACATCGGGATCAGAAGTTTTCGCGGATTCACGCGGCTCGCGAGGTAAATGTTTTTCGCGCGACAAAGAAAGAAAAATAAAAACCACGCCCAGGGATTTTTAACTGTATTTTTATTTCGCGGCCACAGTTACGTTTAATATAATTACTCGGGGGTGTACGAGAACGAAAAATCCCTTTCGCCATTTTATTCGAATCGCTTTCGACTTTAATTTTGACACGGCTCGTAGATTATTTCAATTTGCCCGGTAATTTCATAACTCACGAACGCGTAATTCGAAATAGCTTTATACGCTTTTATTTCTTCAATGCCGCCCCGGAAGTTGCCTCTTCCGGGTAAATAATTTTCAATGTACGTTCGTTTCGTCGTTATTGACCTTTGCGCCGCGGAAAAGCGCTTAATTAAGTCTCGCGAGCGAGCTTTTCGATCGAAATTTCTCTCTCTTTTTTCGCCTCCCTTTTTTTCTTTTTTTTTGTATTTTATTTCACCGCGTTGGTCGCTCGATTTCGTCCCGCCGGCGCGAGAGACTTTGAGTTTCATCGAACGCGACGGACCGCGAAGGGTGGATCTGTCCGCGAAGCGGAAAAAAGGAGAATCTTCACGCCACGCTTCCTTCCCAAGCTGTACAAATTTCTTTTAGCAGCGTGTAATCGAACAATTCGAGCGGTCGAATCGAATTCCTTTCGCGTTGAATTTACGTGACTGGGTCGCGCGTGACTTTTACCCAAGTAACTTAGCTTTAAGTCGGGAAAATTCGGAAAAAGGCGCGCGGCACGTTCTTCCAAAGCGTTCTATTCTTCTTCTATCGACTCGCGAAGTCTACGTACAGGGTGTCCCGTTTTCAATCGTTCCGCGGGAATACAGTCTGGAATTGCAAATGTAAGAAAATATTTGATCGAAAGTGGAAGGACCTCGAAATTGAAGTATGCAAATATGTTGTGCAGTTACGATTTTATAGAATTTTAGATGCATGAAGGATCGTTCTGTTAAATAATATCGTACATTTCTTATGCATTATTATGGAGGGAAAGACGAAGGAAATTAATGTTAAAGTAGTACAGAAAGTTTACATAAATTCTTGTCTCCGAGTTAAAGTCGTTTTTAATTTTCTGAACTCATCGAAATTTTCTAATTTCACTGCATGTAAAGCCCGATGTTCAGCTGCAATATCAAAATGGTAACTTGGAAATGAGTTTATGTAGGTCAGACAAGGTTACATGGTCCACTATATTACTTCTGTCTAACCGAATTCACCCTCTGAAATTATTCTAACGTTTTACCAACCACTTTGCGTATTAAATGAGTTGTTAACAGAAATTGGTCTTCCCAATGTATTCATCAGTTTGTAAAATGATCTCAGCCAATATTGATAATTTACCTTTCTACTTCGTGGAGTCAAAGGAATGAATCAAACTCTCGATACATGATTTGGAATAAACACTTATCTTTCCTGTACATTATTTTATTAAAAAATCGGATTGAACACGATTGCAGATACCATATTAAAAAAAAATAGTCCATAGAAGGCGAACGCTATAGATAATATAAAATAAATTGTCCAAAACTAGTACGGTATCGAATATAATATACGATGGACGTAAAGGGGTTATTTAGAGACTGTCTTTCGACTCTTGTTTGGAATTTCGACGATATTCTCGTGATTCGATTAAAATAGGACACCCTGCGCTCGTGTTACGTTCGTTTTAGAATGATCGATTAACGACTGTTTTAAATGTCCGTTCTCGTGTTTCGTGTGTCGTTTTTTCTTTTTAAGCTCGTCGACTTCAGTCATACGGGATAACCTTCGAAGCGCGAAGCGAGTTGAGATTCTTCATTTTACGGTTGATCGATTTTTACAGAGATTAGGGTAGTTTAGGTAGTTGTGACGTTCTGTTCGAAGCTACGCCGGCCCGGATCGTAGCGGTGTTTTTAAACGTTGAATTGTTACTCCGTTTTGTCGAGTTCGAAATCCACGTCATCGCTCACGAACGATGTCGGAACGGTTCTCCGTTCACTATACATTATTATACTCTTCATCTCGAGAGTTTCGATGCGAGGGAAACATACACGCGCATACAATTACCGTTTTGAAAGTTTGGGTACCTTTGTTGATCAAGAAGATTTCGTTAATTCTTATACGTCTGTTAATACGAAAGAAATTCATTAATTCACAGGGTTAAAGTGAAGACGATGGTAATACTGGTTGCATGAAATTTACTATTAAACGTTCTTTACTCCCATATCCTTCCATTTTGTATACTGTATTCCGTAGCTTTGGTAAGTTCCATTTTTTGCAATTTTTTAATTACGGATGTGTGTCCATTCTTCCAACGGCACGGTCTTCCATCAATTTTTTTTAACAACTTCCTCGATAATTAATCTGACTTCGAATAATGTTTTCCAACATTACGAACATCCGAATTTTAACGTTTCAAGATTCTATATTTAGGAGCGTACAAACATTGATTTAAGTCAAATTAAACGTCGATTGGTCGCAGAAGCTCTCCCAATGTTCTACGTAATTAATTTTAAAACGAATCTGAAACAAAGCTGGATATAATTTAGATTAGATATGTTTAAAATACTACAGTAAATAGTGAATGCCAAAATAAATATGTCGAACGATATTTTCGATACAAGTAACAAGTTTAGAAAATAGTTTTATTTAAAAGTGAAACGGAACTTGAATGATGTGCTTTACGTTTCACAGAGTGACGTAATATATTGGAAATAGTAGTTTGTTTGCATTCACTTGACCGTTTAATGTTTATATTAATATTCTGTCTGAATGTTTTTTATTTAAAAGTTCTATTCGAACGAAAATCAAATATTTTCTAACTCTTTCATACAATCAAGGTGATTAAAAAATAGAACTATTTAATGCAAAGAATGTAATTTGCTCACATACGTGTCAGTCATGAAAATCTATATAGATAAATGTGTAATATTATACAAAATACGAGAGTTTCAATAGTCCCGCAGGTAGTCAATTACTTGTCAATTAAATTCAGAGGTATTTTGAAAGAGTAACGATATTTACTAAAATCGCATATAAATAAACACCAATAAATACATAAATACACTGTCGCGGGAATGTACATACAAATACAACAGCTATGTTAAACTTTACAAAAGACGTTTTCCATCGTTATATTAATATTTTATTAGCTCTTCGTTGTAAATGTGTATCGTTATTAGTCTGTTCTAATTTTTTTTTTCACACCGTTACGTGGCTGTGACTTGCCCGACTAATTGGAAATCAAAATTACGTTAACGGTCCCCAGACTATACATGGCGGGGTGTACCCAAACTTTCGATTTTTCAGCGTGCGTGTGGACGAAGATGCATCATTGATTAGCGTTAAACGTTCTTTATACTGAAAGTGTTAACTGTTGATTTTTCAGTGTACAAAGTGTCTTGCAAAGGTTTCGGACGAGTCCGTTTGTTGTTTCGTCTAGCGTTCTTTTAGACGATAAAGGTTGACTAAAAAAAGGTTGATTTTCGTTTCGGCTAGTTTATTGTCGTT